AAGATTCGAGTATTTGATTCAACCCAAGCTCATCTTAATCACTTCATGGATTTTATCACAAGTGATTGTGAGATGATAATATCTTATATTCTTGAAACAGAGACATGTGAGTTGTAGTTGCGAGTCGATTGCACATTGACATACATAAATGCACCAGTAACTTGGTGTTATAAAACATATTGTTGTGTGTAATTCGATGAGTAAGTACAAGCAAGCATTTGGGTCAAAGTTTATCCGTTCCTTTTACCCCATGTGGATAAAAACGATCTCTGTGGGACCCTCGATGATTTAGTGATGATAACCCTAAGTGCTTAGCCAAGCCTGGACTGATTTGATTTGTTTAATTAGTCAGTCGTCATAAATCAGAAATAGGGAAACAACAGATGGACAGAGATAATGATTAAAATCCATGTCTCAGTCCATATGATATCTAGAATGGAGAAAGATATGATCCCTTATCTAATGGGCGTGTCATTGACTAGGTCGGAGTTCGATAGTAGTTTTTAACAGCTACGATTGCTAGTCGGGTTATGGAGTCATACTTGTAATAATAGTTATTAAACTTATCCAAGTGAGAGATTGTTGGATTAGGTGTCTAAGTCCATAATTATAATTAATATGTACTTGACCCGAGAGTAGCATGGTCCATTTGGGTTACATATCACCATGACAATTTGATAGGATGGACTTTTGAGAAGAGGTTATTTATGATTTGTTAATATATTATAAGTGTTAATATATTAATATGAAATCATATTCTTTAATTTGTATTGATCAAGAACTAATTTGGAATTAATTTCGTGATCAAAAGAGACTAATTAAATATAAGGGGTTGATTTGGTAAATCAATCATTCATATGGTGTGGGCTTATTGTTATTTAGGATGGGATAAACCAATATGGTAATCCATGGATAGTCCATGGAGGTTTAACCATGGATCCTAGGTAAGATGAAGAGTCATGGGCATCATGGTTTATATGTGCTAAACTTAATTTTACCACACTATATAAGAAGCCCCTTAGAATCCAAAATGACACACTAGTGTTCTTGGAGTCCACATAACCGATTTTGAGTGCAAGAAACTCTCTCAAAAGGCATCCTTTGTTCTAGGTGTGTTGTGAACCATTTGAGGTGTCACACTTGGGGCACTAAGTTCTTAAAGGCCAAAACTACAAGCTACACCAAAGAGGTAGCTCTATAACCCAATTTTATGTTGTTTATATCAATTGTATGTTAGTTGTAGGCTTAAAGCTTTGGAAACAATATTGCATGTATAATAGAGAAAACATAGATCCAAAGCTTTTAGGATTGTATGTGCACCATAGGATGTTGTAGTATACCAAAATCCAACACTAACCATAGTCTTTTATACAAGTGTTTTGATCCAACGACAGTCTTTCATGCAAGAGTCACAAAGACAATCGAGTAACCTACATAGAATAGTGAGAAAAACTCACCTGAACCACTCAATAGAAGCTCAACAGCTACCTCAGCAACAGACAGCCAACCCAAGCTTCCTAAAGCCAATCTGTGACCAGTCCTTAGCCAAATACTTAATTTTACCAAGTTTTACCAAAAGTTAAACTAGTAAAAAAGACAACGTTCAAAGTCAATTGAGATGATTCCCACGTGGTAGCAATTCCTTTGCCACGTCGTGGTCACGTCTACACAAAAGAGACATGTTGCAGCGCACCACCATGTCGTGGGACTTCCTTGGCGACATCGTGGATTCGGTCGGAAAGATTTTTCCTTCATTAAGAGCTTAATCCTTAAAGACCAAAACTCAAATCATTAGGTCTGGTTCCTGATAGTTTCATAATGGATAAAGTTTCCAACTTTATCGATTAGGATGATCCAAACAACCAAGATCTAGTCTTTAAGTCTCAAATGGACCAAGAATGTATCTTTCTCAACTTAATCCATTAAGTCCAAGTGTCCAACCTTCAGATCCGAATCAACATGATGATTAGATGGATAAAGTTTCCAACTTTATCCATAATAATGTCTCAAACTTTCAAGATCTAAATTTAATTCACCAAAATGACCTAAAGGACCAAGATAGCTTGCATATCTAAAAAGGAAAGAAAAATAGCATAATTTTCCTAGTCCATGAGGTCCACGAAGCATTCCAGACTTATCAAAAGGTGTTGGAGTCCACTCAACTCCAAGATCACCCATAAAATGGACCAAAAGAGCCAAAAACCACAATTGAAGAGATCTAAAGAACTAAAGAGCAAGATATGTACTTTATACTCATAATAGTCCAGAAATAAAGTGACTTTTATGGATCCAAACTTGAAACAACATTCCTTGCAATCAAAAGAACCTTCTTGATCTTTAAGCTTCATAACAAAATACCATTAAAAAATCCAAAAGAGATGAGATGAGAGAAGAGGAGCTCAAATATAGAAAGGGAGGCTAGGCTTGCTCCTAAGCAGTTCAAGGAGTGATGGATGCTAAGAAAATACCCTAAAACATGAATCCTTACCTTTAAATACCATGAATATCCTAAAAAAAATTAGTGGGCTTGGGCTACCTACCGGTCACCTTGTGACAATCTAGTTGTCACCTAATTACGGATCTCACCTCGTGACAACATGTTTCTCACCTCATGACAACGAGATTTCACCGAATTCTACTACAGCTTCAAACAATCATAACTTCTTCGTTTCAACTCTGTTATCAGTGATCATTATATGCACGTGAAAGTATTGACAAACCCTACAACTCTATCTAACTACTTTTAAGTTTATACATGTCGAAATAAAACCATCATCCATGCAAGGAGCCTAAAACATTACTTTTCCTATTTTAACCTGTTTGCTTCAAAGGACAATTCGAGGACTTAATTCACTTAACCAACATTACCAAGATCTGATAGGGTCTAAATGATATCCCCTTGAATCCCAACGTTATTACATGATCGAATTATGGTCTACAATCCTTGAATAAGAAACATCCTGAAACTGGATGTTATAGTTTTAGTTCATTTGTTTTTCGATTTTTTGGGTTGGGTGGAAACCAAATGTAGAGCATAATAGTGGTGTTTTGAGCATCAAACAATGAATCGGCATTTTCTTCACGAGACTCATGTAGAAGGAGCATGTTTTTAGCTTGAAAAAAGACGTGAATATTTTTGTATTACTAATAACATCCATTATGCTATGGTAGGTAGGTAGGAGTTTTCGAGGGATTTGCATCACAAGTTCTACCTCAGTAATTTCGGAGTCAACGTAAGAGAGAGCATCAGAATGATTTTTGAGAATGTGACAATATTTGGTAATAGATAAAGCACTTTTCTTTGTATTCCGAAATTGGTCTTGAATTTGAAACATTCAAGATATCTTCTTGTAGAGAAAAATAATCATGGAGATTGTCCCATAAATCCTTAGAGGTACAATTATCATTGGAGATAATTTGAAGGAGATTCAAATCAGACATAGAATAGAACCAAGAATTGACCTGTGAATCAATGAACTCTGAATCTTCATCATCTTCAATAGTACATTAGGATTTTCCATTTATGTCACCATGGACTTTATCACCCTTCCAAATATCTTGAAAAATTTTGCACCAAAACTTCTATTTGGAGCCATCTACTCTTAGCTTGAAGCTAAATTGGTTGTAAACAATCATGACCACGTAGATGAGGTTTTTAGGCAGTAGCTGCAGTAGTAGATGAATATGCAGTAGTAGATGAATGTGTAGAGTTGTTGGACATGATATCGAAAAATCAATAGACAAATGAAATAAAAACGAGAAAATGATCAATGCACTTACTGTAGGTAGAAGGATTGTAGCAATGTGTACTATACTACACCCTACATCGAGATGTAAGGAAGCAGCGAAAATAGTTGCGTAAGGATCGAAGGAGGCGGCATCGTTTGTACGTGATCAGTGTATGACAGCAATAGGAATGTTTGCGATAGCTTGGAGGTAGCAAAAGTTATTTGAGCCTTAATCAGAGATCAACAAGGATAGGGGAAAGACATTGGCATCCACTAGAAAAAAAAAATAATCAAGTGTATCATATGATAGTATCAATATGGCTTGATATCATGTCTGTTAGTGAAAATACTTGTTATGGTTTGTATTGTATTCCATATCTTTAAATAATAACCAGAATACATTTGCATAGAGGACCTCTATACTGTATGAGAGTATAAATGTCTACACGATATAAGTGCTTAAAATTCAATCTATTGAAACGTACGTACGATAAGACTTAATGTGGTCAAGGACGAAGCTTATGTAGGGCTAGGAGGGGCTGTGCCCCCCCCCCCCCCCCCCCGACGAATGTAGTATTTATATCAAAACAAACGCCAATGATGAAAAGTAATTATACATGTTTTTCGTATGTTTTATTTTTATTTATGTAATTTTTGGATTATTTGAATTTGAATTTTATGTGTTAATTTATTAAATTAAATATTATTTATTTAATTAAAAATTTTAAAAATAATTTTATTTGATGATTTGGAAAGGTGATTTTCCATTTATCGTGGTGTCGGTGTTATGATTACGTAGGAATTTCCAAATGGCTATGGTCTCACCATCGTATCCGAATTATGTTGGAAACCTCGAATATACTTTTGCCATCGGAAATATCTTTGGAAAAATCCTATTTTTTCCTAAAATACGAGTTCAATGAGAAATATAAAAAAAATTTAAAAAGTTGAAAAAAAAAAAAAAAAATTTAAAAGTTTATTAGTCATGTTCTCAAACAAAAGTAAATAATACAGAATACAATTCCCATCATACAATGTCAAAATTGTACAAACATTCCTAAATAAACAATACAAAATACAATTATGATCACACAATGTCAAGATTGTACAAACATTTGTACGTTATAACAACCAAAAAGAGTGCATGTGAATTTCACGTGTATAGACATCATGAATCCACGGCATCCTTATCTTAGATCCATGTAGACTTGTAGAGTATCAAAGCAAAACTCCTAGTGGAGGTCCATAACCATAACACCTTAACAATCAACAATGGGTCTGCTTTTTCTGTTTCTTCTTATTCCTCTCCTCTACCTTCTTTCCCAAATCATCGAAGGCAGATCGAATTTCACTCCACCAGGCCCTCTTGGACTACCCTTCATTGGAAACTTGCATCAAATAATCTATCACTCAAACATCCCTACTTTCCTATGGCAGCTCTCCAAATCCTACGGTCCAATCCTATCCCTTAACTTCGGATTCATCCCAGTAATCGTTGTTTCTTCAGCAAGTCTAGCGAAAGAAGTCTTAAAAACCCAAGATATCATCTTTTGCAATAGGCCATCATTTGTTGTACTAAAAAAGTTATCTTACAATGGCCTTGACGTGACTTTTTCACCCTACAACAAGTACTGGAGAGAGATGAAAAAGATTTTTAAGCTTCATTTGTTAGGACCTAAAAGAGTGGAATCTTTTAGGTTTATCCGTGAAGAAGAGGTCTCAAGTGCCATGAAGAAGATACATGAGATGGCTCTTTCGTCTATGCCTGTAAACTTGAGCGAACTCGTGAAGAGTGTGGCGGGTACTATAATGATGAGAGTGGGTTATGGCAAGAAGTTCCGAGATGAACATGAAAGAAAGGAGCTTCTTCGACTACTAACTGAACTCGAGTTGATATTTGCTGATTTCTACGTTTCTGATATTTGGCGTGGTCTTCCTTTCATGGGTTTGATTGATAGGTTATTCGGCAAGACTAATCGTCTAGATAAATGCTTCCAGTATTTTGATGTGTTTTACCAGAAACTCATTGATGAACATCTAAGCCCCAAATCAAGTGAGAAAGAAGAAGATTTTATTGACATCTTACTACGACTCAAAGAAGAACAGCTCTTAAACCTCACGTACGATCACATTAAAGCTTTGCTCATGGTAATCGCTATTCTCTTAATAACAAGAGTTTATAGTTCTCTCTATCTCTATCTTTCTTTGTAGTCTCTCTCATTGATCCTTAATTCGTTCTTCTTTTAGGATGTATTGGTAGCCGGAACAGATACTAGTACAGCTACTGTGATTTGGGCAATGACAGCACTGATAAAGAACCCTAAAGTAATGAAGAAAGCACAAGAAGAAGTGAGAAATTTGGTGGGAAAGAAGTGTATAGTAGAAGAGGAAGATCTTTCAAAACTCACCTATATGAAAGCAGTGGTGAAGGAGATCATGAGGTTATACCCTCCGGCTCCTCTTCTAATACCACGAGAAACAGCAAAACATACCATTTTGCATGGCTACAAAATCAAACAGAAAACACTTGTTTTCGTGAACGCAATGGCCATCGGAAGGGACCCTGAATCCTGGGAAAGGCCAGAGGAGTTTTTACCGAAGAGGTTTATGGGTAGCAATATTGACTTTAGAGGGAATGATTTCGAGTTGATTCCGTTTGGGGGTGGCCGGAGAATATGTCCTGGAATCTCAATGGGAGTTATGATTGTGGAACTTTTGCTTGCTAATCTTGTTTACTTGTTTGATTGGGGGTTGCCGAATGATGAGAACAGTGTTGATATAGACTTTGATGTTATGCCTGGGGTAACCATACACAAGAAGAATGATCTTTGCCTTTTAGCTCATGTATTTGTAAAAGACTGATATTTGTGTTTTCTAGCCAAGGTTAGTAAGATGGGTGTTTTTTTTAAATTTAATTAATGTTTTTAATAAAAATGATATATAACCATGTAAAATGTAAAATATGTATGAATGTTCTTTTGGAGAAAGAATAAATTGATTAATAATATCAAGGAAATAAAGTGTTCTTTTTTTTAGATGTGTAATTCTTTTAATTTGTTCTTTCTCTTATGTTCCATTTTTAGTATAACTATTCTATAAATATCACGTTTTTAGACAATATTTTATCAGGCTAATTTCATGAAAGTCCTTAAATTTTCATGGAATATTTGGTATTAGCATATTTTGGGTTCATTAAAATCGAAGGTTTGATTAATTTTTTGCATTTTTCCATTTTAACAAATTTAGCCAGCTTCATGTAAAGGTGGCAGGTCAGGCGCAGATTGCGCTCATTCAGTTGAAGTAATGCCACATAGGTTCTGAGATGGCATATTCGTTACATTTACTTTAAAAGTGACGTACAAAAGAAAAAAAGACGGTCCATGATTTGAACACCCCACCTCCTAAACACAATGCAACAATCTTGCAACTAAGATATACCAATTTGTATATTTCTTCCTAAATTCATTTATATAACCTAAACTGCTAAAATAAATATTAATTTAATTTTAAAAATAATAATAATAATAATAATAATAATAATAATACATCTATTTTTAAGTATGTTTTTAATTGTATAAAATCATTTTTAAATGTATTTATATTTTATATATTCAAAAAATATTTATATATTTAAATATATATTTGTACAAATAAAAACATATAATCCTATTTGTGCCTTTAAAAATGTATTGATACATTAAAAATATATTTTTTTTGTATTTAGTAGGTATAAATATATATTTATTTTGTATAAAATGGCAAAATAAACATACAAATATGGTTTTAAATGAATAATTACTTAATAAATGTTTTTAAATCTTCATAAATATTTGTGTACCTTTATAAATACATAATACGATTAATATGTTTTTTATACACATAAATATAACGTCTGCAGATTCGAACTAGTCAATTTATAGATAATAAGCGTTAAAAATGACTTTTTGATAGAATATTATTTAGGATAAATAATCTTAAATAAAGTTATAGAATATGTTACAAGGATTTCGTGCATATAAAGAACGTTGAAATCCGACTTATAACAAAGAAGTTATGATTCGTTAAAGTTTCGCGATTTAAACTGGCACGACTCTATGTAACGTATAAAGTAAATTTTTGATAAAATACTTTTTAGCATTTGTGATCTAAACGAGATTCGTAATATTCTTTCAACTAACAGCGTGCATATAGAGAATGTCCAAATCTGACTTCATTAGAGAAAGTTACAATTTTTCTAAGATTCAGTTTAGCAGTATACAGCTCAGAAATCGAATTTTAGATTGATCAATTACTAGACAACACAATCTAAACGAGAATTGAAGATCTCGTTAATAGGAGCTCAAAGATATAAACATAGTCGAAATCGGATGTCAGATGACAAAGCTATAAATTTTTAACGGATTTTAATTATCTAAGACTATTAAAATATAGCTAAAATAAAGTCAAAATTAGCCGACAGAAATTAAATGAAAGTTTATATCTCATCGATAGCTACACGTGAATATAAAGAACATCGAAAATGGAGTTCGTATGCGAAAGTTATGGATTTTACAAGATAGTTAATTTTCGGATTAACAAGAGAGCGACACATGTCGCGATCTAGAACACTCCTTCCTCCCCAAGGCTTTCGATCTGATGGAGACACCTGGCCCCATTATGCCCAATGTAATGTTCATTGTACCCAACGTAAATTTATGTAAGCCCAACGTACTGGGCTACTGGCAACCAATAAATAGAAGCAGAATTTCACTCTTTTCCTCACACATTTCCATTCTATTCTCTCCCAAACCCTCCCAAGGTCTCAAGACCTTTCTCTAGCACTTCTTAAATTTTAGTGCTGAAGCTCCGGAGCACCAGAAAGCCCCGAGAAATAGAGCTTTCGGTTTAGAAGTTATGCTCGCACAGAGTCTGGTTTTTTGCTAAATCACCTGTAAGTTGAGTTATGCTTACCGTGCTTTAAGTATAACTTATGTTTAAGTTCATTATCTTTATTAAGAACCTATATACAGGATTTATCAATTATTCGAAGTCATTATACTGATTGATCTACTTACGGGGATGATATCTAAGTTGGATTTAGTGAGGTGTTTAAAGTATATTTCCAAACAGTATACTTTGTATACCAAACGGACCCGGCCTCTGATATGAACCTACATGGTTGTCCCTTATTAGCTACAGTTCAGTAGACTTTGAATTAATGATGAATCTAGACTAATAATTAGTTACAATAAATATTAGACGAATACTTAGTGATAATAATACTAGGTTACCTCAAAGGAAAAGACAGTTGCTAGAAGCGAAACGTTGTCCGAATTTCGAGTCGTCACTTTAACAAGTGAGTGCATAGTTACTTTCATATTACACATATATGAAGTATATAATATAAATTACATGTTATATGTGCTTATTATCTTTGTTACTGATATCTATGTTGGATGACTGATTTATACATTTTTTACTTGATATAAACTATGTAACATCCCAAAATTCAAGACCAAAAATTTTGTTTTGATTAATTAAAATCGCTTAATAAATTTTTCTCAATCATTTAATAACATTCTTAATATAACAATTATCAGAGTTTTAGATCCCAAAGATCATCTAGTGCGGAAAACATGGTGTGATGCGTTGCGATCGCCCCGAGCTCCTTCCTTGGAAAAAGATTAGTACCTGAAACAAATAGCTGAAAATTGTAAGCACGAAGCTTAGTGAGTTCCCCAGATACCACATACCATACATATCAACCGATCCATACATGTCATGTGTAAACATGAGACATACATAACAAACATATCCATAATCAAGTAAGGTGTTATGTGCCAAACATAGTCTTGATGTTATGCCACGGGCTACACGTGGTCTTCCTTGCCAAGCTTGGGGCCACTCCTTGGGTCTTACAGACAAGTGCCAAGGGCTACCCCCTGGTTTTCAATGCAAGCATCACAAAGACAACTATATATACTACTCTACTACGCTACTCAGCATATAGTGTGCTAGGAGCCGTGTTTCATACATAATAGCACACAGTGCGTCAGGAGCCTCCTCCTGGTCTTCCGTACATATTGCCTAGGGCTAACCCCCGAGTCTTCCTACCATACATAATAACATATTGTGTGCCAGGAGTTGTCTCCTGGTCTTTCTGTATCACCTACTTCCTGGTATGTATTCTTGATTATTAACTCTCCTTATGTATTGCATTTTAACCTTGGACTCAGCGAATTGAAGGACTAACTCGCCGAGTAGAAGCAGGTCTAGACTCGGGTTCAACTCTGGCTACTCGGCGAGTAGGGTCGTTGGACTAGGCGAGTAGACCTTGTATGGACTAAAACCCTAACCCGGGTGTTTGCACCCTATTTAAATGATCTAACCCAGCCTCCACAACCCCTAGCACTCCCAGAGATCTGTAGAACGAAACCCTAGCCCCCTTTGTGTCCTTGTGGGTGATTTTTAGCATTTTGAAGGTGGTTTGGAGCTTGGGAGAAGAAGGAGAAGGTTGAAGAGTGCAAGAAGGGAAGAAGATCTGGAATATACTCTGTGAAGGGCTTCTATTCAGGTAGAAAAGTTCCTACCTTGACCTTTAGTTCATTGAACCCCCTTTCTTGTCCCTAAAAAGAGGTTTTAAGCCCTAAGAACCTAAATCTCTATGTGTTTATGGTTAATGTTCTGTAAGGACTTCGGATTTGGACCTTTAAGACATCCTAGTAGCATAAAGTCTCTGTGGTTGAGGTGATTAAGGTCCCTATTGAGTGTAGGACCTCTTAAAGAGCTTGGAATTGCATGTTTGAGCTCATAGGGCCATGCATGCACGTAAAGTTTGCAACTTTACGTGATAAACATGCTCAAGGGACAATGATCTATGGTTTTGAAGCGTTGCATGTCTCAGATTGGCCTATATGGGAAATGGGTCATAGGGACTCGGCGAGTCCCAAGGAGGAACTCGGCGAGTCCCAAGAAGGAACTCGGCGAGTTCCATGAAGATGGCCTTAGACTCGGCGAGTTGGATGAACAACTCGGCGAGTCCTATGAAGATTGCCTGGAACTCGGTGAGTCGGGTCACGAGTCAGTTCAATCGTCCCAAGTCGTGAATGAAGAGTGATTCAGCGAGAGGGAAGAATGACTGGTTGAGTAGGATCGGGTTACTAGGAAAAGGACTCGGTGAGTCCAAGCCATGACTCGGCGAGTCCAGTCAAGCGGGCATTGACTTTGACCAAGGGGTTGACCTTGGGCCAAGGGAGGGTCAGTCTTTTGACCTAATGGTATTTATGGGTGTCTAACCTATGTTTATGGTTTATAGCCGGAGGATTTGCGATCCAGCAGTTAGACGCTCAGCAAGCAGATTTCAGCAACTACTTTCGAGGTAAGTTACCTTCCAGTAGCGGTGGGTCTAAGGCCACAATGCAGGCCCACCAGTAGGAGATGTATGATAGATGATTGTCTTTGTGATATCATCTAGGTTTGCTACTACCTGATATGTTATATGCTAACATGATATGTTATATGTGATAGTAGTAGAGTTCGGTTGTTAGGACCTAAAGGTAGTCAGACACCCCAGATACGTCTGACAGTATGTGATTATATGTTTGCATGTTGGCTTGTTATGTTATATGCGATAGAGGTAGTAGGAGGGGACCAATCCCCGAGTTCAGTTGCTAGGACCGAAGGGTAGTACAGTACCCCAGATATGTCTGATAATATGTTATGTTATGATATATGTGATAGTAGCAGTAGGGGTGAAATAGTCCCCGAGGTTCGGTCGTCAGGACCGAAGGGTAGTCAGCACCCCAAAATGGCTTGACATGGGTAGTCAGCACCCCAGAATGGCTTGACACGGTTAAGTCAGCACCCCATAATGGTCGTACCGGGTAGGTCGGGCACCCCAGAAATGCCTGGAAATAAATATGATATGTGATTGTATGGTATGCGGTATGATGGGGGAACTCACTAAGCTTCGTGCTTAGAGTTTTCAGTTTTGGTTACAGGTACCTCTTCTTCAAAGGGGAAGGAGCTGGCGC